CCCCCCCCCCCCCCGTATCCCCCCGCATCCTCCCGCATCTTCAGAACCACGCCGACACCGTGGTGGTCCCCATGCCGAAGATGTCGGTCTCCGACATCGCCCGCACGCACCCGGTGTTCAACTTCTTCCCGGACAACTTCCTGGAGAGCATGTCCTCCACGACCAATGAGTACTCGGAGTTCACCGTCGACTGGACCGGCATGCCGACCGAGGACCCGGCCCTGATGGCCTACTTCCGCCTGTGGGAGATGACCCCGGACGAGCGCGACCGCACCCTCACCGACACGGAGTACGCCCATGCGGTGACGCTGCGCCTGCTGGACGGCCGCCCGCTCTCCGTGGAGAATGAGATCGCCGTGGTCAAGCGCCTGATTTCCTACATCGGCGCGCGCCAGGCCCGGTACCGTGCGGATCTCGATGACGAGTATGCCTCGCTGGATCGCATTGAGACCGACCTGGCCGAGGCGGCCGTCGGCGATGACCTGAACCTCTACCATGCGCTGATGGTGAAGCACTCCATTTTCACCTTGCGATCTGCGGAGCAGCTCCTTCTCCGGGTGAACTCCGAGCTGCTGCGCCAGCGCCTGGAGCAGCTCCAGGCCGACCCGGACAATCTGGAAGCCCCGCAGCCGGGCCTGCCCAAGGCGCCGGAAGCCCCGCCCCGGACGTTCTCCCTGCGCGACGACCTGTGAGAGTGGGCATCACTGTTGGCGGCGAAGGGGGCTGAGGGAGCCGGGGCGGGGCTTCGTGTGTGCGCGGCCCTGTCCCCCCCCCCTCCCCCCCCGGCGCGCCCTCCCTTGCGGGACTCCCCCTGTGGCGGCACTGCTGGTTGGTGTCGCCCGGCGCTGGTGGATGGCGTTCTCCCCTCCTCCCGGCCTGGCCTTGGCGCCCTTTGGGGCGAATGCATGTGCCTCGGCGAATACATGCATGTGCATTTATTCGCATGCGCGTGTCCATGCTGTCATGTGTTGGTGAGTGTGAGTGCTTTGACGGGGGGGGGGGGGGGGGGGGGGGGGGGGGGGGGGGGGGGGGGGGGGGGGGGGGGGGGGGGGGGGGGGGAGGGAGCTAGTGCTCGGTGGCCGGGGTCGCCAGGATCGACGGGTGCCGGCTATTGAGGAAGACCGTCCCGGTGGCGGGGACGCCCTTGCGCCCGAGGATCTTGATGAGCTCCTGGACGGCCAGCCCGGCGGTCATGGCCGCGGTGACATGGATTTCAGCGCCGCCGGAGTTGGCTCTGTGTGTTTTTTTTGTGTCAGACGTGTGTGCGGAGTGAGCTGCTGCTCGGGGGCGCCAAAGCGCCAGGTGGGCCCATGTGTCCATGTGTCCATGTATGTGGGATATGTGCATGGGCGTGTGAGGACATGCATGTGGGCATGGGTCACGTACAGCCATCGGATGTCCGCCGCCAGGGCAGCCCGCAGGCCAAGGAGGTCCTCCTGCGTAAGGACCTCCCGCAGTTCCACATTCGTGACAAGGCGGAGGGCAGCCGCCAGGCGTCTGTCCTGGCGAAAGATCGACATGCCATCGAGCCGGGTCTCGCCGCCAGCCAGGCAAGCCAAGCCCGCGGCATACCACAGGAGAAGGGCCCGGAGTCGGGGGTCCGACGCGCCGGCGCGCGCGGCTTCCTGGATGGCCGGCGACCGGCCGACAGCCGCCGGCCCGGGAAGGCCGGCATCCAGGGCGGCCATCACAGCGTCCGGGCTCGAGCCAAGCAGGGGAAAGTCATCCGAAAGGGCACCGGCCTGGCTGAGGAACACCCGGCGGAAGGCCAATTGCTGGAAGTCCCGAGCCAAGGACGCAGCGCCTGGCCGGCACGCAGAAAGCACAGCCGCAGGAAGGTCAGCATGGGCCGGCCTTCGGGGCAGTGGGTCATCGGCAAAGGGGGAAGGAGGCAGGCAGGCGGAGAGGGAGAAACAGAGAGGGAGGGGGAGGGGGGACAAGCAAGGAGGCTCTCCGGCAAGCAGCAGACGCACCTGCGCGGATGGCCGACACGGCGTGCTCCGGGCCCGGGACCGGCAGCCGGGCCACGTGTCCCAGCAGCTGCTCCGTATCGGCGGCCGACTGGCGGCGGTAGCTGGGGTGGTCGGTCGTCCGGTCAGCCACTCGGTGATGCATGGGCGCCGGGGGCGTGTGCCAGCACGTACATGTCTTCCAGGGCGCGGAAGTGCTCCGCAGAGGAGTCCATATCCTCGAAGGGGGCGAAGCCGAGCGGCATGGTCGAGGGGGCGGCCGCGAGGCAGGCCGCCACGGCCCGTGCAAAAAGCCACACGTCGGCAGCCGGGCCGGCCTCCGCGCCTGGCGGCTGGGCCCGCGAGCCGAGACGTGTGTTTGTGTGTGTGTGTGAGAGAGAGGGGAGGGGGAGGAGCTGGGCCCATGGCCGTATGAGGCGGACGGGAGAGCGCATGGTGCGCACCTGGCGAGCAAGGAGCGCCTCAAAGGCCTGGACCTCGCGCCGGGTCTGCCGGCCGAGGGCATGGAAGGACAGGGCCGCCTCGGCCTCGGCCAGGCAGCGCGGCGGGGAGCCCTCGCCCGAGGGGAAGAGCCCTCGAAGGGCCGAGCGCAGGGCCCGTCGATCGAGGCCCTGGTCGCGCCAGTCAGTGACGCGAAGGCCAAAGCATATATGCATATGTGTGTGTGAGTGTGTGTGTGTGTGTGTGTGTGTGTGTGTGCATGGGTGAGCATGGGTGAGCATGGGTCATGGCAAACGTACTTGACCCGGCTCCGGCCAGGCATCCACGTCCGCAGCCCCCTGCGGAGTACCACTGGCCTGGAGGATGGCCACCGCGAGGACCAGCGGAAAAGGAAGCGCCGCACGCTCGGAGGCCGTAAGCTGTGGCCAGCCCCGGGCCAGGCGCGCGGCCCAGAGGCGCAGCGCCGCCGGGGGCCGGTCATCTAGCCGAAGGTGCATGCGCGCCGGGCTCGTCGTGCTGGCTGGCGGCTCGAAGGCTGGCTGGGGGGGTCAGATCGAGGCAGGCAACGGCCAGGGCTCCCGGCCAAGGCTAACCCAGGGCACACGCACTGACAATGTCTGGCCCACATAGCCGGAGCAGGCCGTGCATGCTGGCCGTGGTGGCCAGGACCACCGGCGCCGGCGAGGCCTCGAGCGCCCGCACCGCTGCTCGGTCCAGCGGAACATGGTCCAGGAGGATGGCATCGTAGGGGCCGAGGTCCAGCAGCTGGAGGGCAGCCTGCGCGGCCGAGCAGCGGTCCAACAAGGTGCCGGTGAGTGGGAGGCCGACTGCGGATGCATGGCGAGGCGGCCTTCTCCTTTTCCCCTTCCCTCCTCCTTCTTCCCGGCCCTGTGGCGCACCTCAGTCACAAGGGCCAACGTGCTGTCGGGGCTCAGTTCACGGAGGGCCTCCAGCGGATCGTCATCCGGGCCGGCGAAAAAGTGCGCCCCAGCCTCGGCGCCGGGGGAACCGGCCCAGTCGACCCGGCCAATGCCTGCGGGGACGTGGGTCAGCGCGCGAGTTGGTGCACGAGTCGGCGTGTCGATCAGTGTGCGAGTCAGCGTGTCGATCAGTGTGCGAGTCGGTGTGTCGATCAGTGTGTGAGTCGGCGTGTCGATCAGTGTGCGAGTCGGCGTGTCGATCAGTGTGCGAGTCGGCGTGTGGGTTAGCGCGCAAGTCGGCGTGTGGGTCAGCGCGCGTGTGTGTGTGTGTGTGTGTGTGTGTGTGTGTGGCCGCGCATTCACGCGCGCAGGTGGTCGGGGCGGGGGTGCTGAATCGGGCACACGCGAGAGACCCGACATGAGCAGCGCAAATGCCCGGGGGATGGGCGCACCGCAGAGAAGCAGCTGTCGGACGACCTCGGCCGCCAGGCCGGATGAGCCGACCACCAGCACGGACGACCCTTGCAGCCGAGCCTGGGCGTCCGGGCCCCAGATCCTGGTTGCCGAGCGCACACCACCAGGGGCCGGCAAGCGAGTCAGCGCCAGTCACACCAAGCGGGGGTGCGGGAGAGGGGTGTGTGCATGGAAGGAAATTCGGGCTGGCACTGGCCCGGCGGCGTACCTGACTTGGCGATCGAAACGGTCCATGCTGACCGGCCGGCACCCGGCGTCGAGAGGGAGGACGCAGCCACACACAAGGGTGAGGGCGACGGCGGGGGGAGGAAGGGAAAAAGAGCCCACAAGAAAGAGGCAACGGGCTCGCGCGATCGAGGTACTCGTGTGTCTATGTATGTGTATGCGTGTGTATGTGTCTGTGTATATTTTATGGGCAAAGCAACGGCGGCCCAGCACAAAAGGATCGGCCGGCTGTGGGGGGCGCTGGGCTGGCCGCCCCGAGGTGCCAACGGGCGGTCGTCGGGGGCGTCCGTTGCCCTGCGGCCCTCCCCCTCTGGGGGGGAGCCTTCCATCAGAAGGAGTGCCGGCACAGGGGGCAGGTGGACTGCGAGCTGCTCTTGAACCACTTGAACTGCGGCGCGAGCGGCGGGCCAGGCGGGGGATCGAGTAGAGGAGCAGAGCGTTAGGATGTGACGGGGCCGGGAGTTCATCGCAAGGGGGAGGGGGGGGGGGGGGGGGGGGGGGGGGGGGGGGGGGGGGGGGGGGGGGGGGGGGGGGGGCCCCGGCGGCATGACGTACCAGGCACGCGGAGTGGAACTTGTTCCGGCACTGGTGGCAGGTGATGCGCGGGAGGGATCCGTCGACCGGCTGCACGACGCACTGGCAGACCGTGCACTCGGACACGCCATCGAAGCGGCGCTTGACGTCGGTGGACCACTGCTGCAGGGCATCGGCGATGGTGCCATTCTGCGTGTGAATGGGAGGAGGCCAGGGTTCGTGCGTGTGGATAGCGCGCGCGCGCGCGCGCGCGCAGAAGGAGGGGAGTCAGCAAAGGCGCATAGCGGGGCACATGGAGGGAGAGGCACACCGCGAGGCGGCAACAAGCAAGGGGGGGGGGGACGGCATTGCACGAACCTGGGCCGCCAGGAAGGACCGGACCGAGGCCATCCACCGGTGCCACTGGGCCGAGCTGACGCCCTTGCCCTCGCCCGGCTCGACGGCGGCCTCCAGCAGCGGGTAGCAGTCCGGCATGCGGACGGTCACCGACAGCTGGGCATCCTCAAAGTGGTAACTCGCGGCGATGGTGCGCTGGCCGGAGGAGGCACTCAGGCGGAAGGGCTCCTCGTCGGCCAGGGGCAGGGCCTGCTGCTGCTGCAGGTAGGCCGGCAGGGCGGGGTTGACCGGACGAGCGGCCATGGCCTCGGCATGGCGCCGGGCGCGCTCTTCGGCCCGTGCCCGGGCCTCGGCATTGATCTGGCGCACGACGTCCACCTCGTGCGAGACAATGCGCGGGCTGTACATGTCGCTGGTGATCTTCTTGAGGAACTGCGCGCGCGTCGGGTGGCTGACGCCCAGGTCGAAGTAGGAGAAGCGCAGGGCCGAGGGGAAGGCCTGCAGGCAGCGGAAGTAGGCCACCGAGCTCAGCAGCAGCAGCAGATCCGGGCTGGACAGGAGTTCAAGATCTGGGTGTGATTGTGTTTGTGATTGTGAGTGTGGGTGTGATTGTGTTTGTGAGTGTGGGTGTGAGTGTGATTGTGATTGTGAGTGTGAGTGTGGGTGTGAGGGTGTGTATGTGTAAGTATGTGTCCATGCACATGTGCGCGTGTGCATGGGCGCACATGCACACATGTGCATGGACATGGGTGCAGGAGAGGGGATCAGGCGCGGCAGGGCCAAGGGGACAGGCCGCCGGCCCGACCGGCGCTGGGGCAGGCGACGACGCACCGGTCACGCGCGCGGCCTGCAGGTACTCGCTGGGCGAGTAGTGCTGCTCGGCCATGCGGGCCTTCAGGCCCAGGCAGTAGGCCTGGCTGACGTTGAAGGGAGCACCCAGGCGCCGGGCGCCCTGGCGATCGAGGGCCACATGTGTGGCCATCACGATGTCCAGCAGGTGCCCGGAGAGGGCGGACTTGCGGATGCGGGCGCGCAGGTCCCGGCGCGACGAGCGCGACGGCTGTCACGCAGGGGAGCATGCGCGCGCGGGGAGCGAGTGGCAGGTGGCAGGGGAATCAGCAGGAAGACGGGACCCGAGGCAGGAAGACGGGACCCGAGGCAGACAGGGCAGCGAAAGATCGCCGACAGGCAGGACGTACCGAGGCTTCCAGACAATCGGCCAGGGCCATGGCCGCCAGCAGGGTGGACAGGGTGGCCGACGGCTTGAGCCGGGGGAAGGGCGAGGTGGCGTCCAGCATCATGTCGAAGAGGGGGGCCTCCGGGCGGAGGGTGGTGGCGGCGTGCGCCGCGGCACCGAGCAGGCCGTCGGCGTCCTGGTCCTCATCTTCCGAGTCCGAGTCGTACTCCCCGTCGGAGGCAGGGCCCGGGGCGCGAGGCCCGCCGGTGGTCGTGGTCGGAGCCGTCGACAACAGCATGTCGCTGGTGTCGTCGGTCGAGAGGGAGCCCATCTCGGCCAGGGCCAGGAGGCTGGCCTGCTGGCCCGGCGGCGCGGCCGCCACCAGCCAGCCGCCAAGGAGGGTGGAGAAAATCCGCCGAACAAAGGCATCGAAGGAGTCCGGCTGGCAGTTGTCCTCGGCTGGGGCGGGGCGCCGGGGCCGGGGGGTAAGGAGGGCAGACCCCAGGGAGGCGGGAAGAGGCGCCGGGTTAGCGCGATCAGAGGGCATGCGCGTGCCGTGCCCGGAGGCGATGGCAGCGGCGGCAGCGGCGGCGGCGGCGGCGGCGGCGGCGGCGGCGGCGGCGGCGGCGGCGGCGGCGGCGGCGGCGGCGACCATCGGGCCGGTAGGTGGGCGATGAGGGCCAGGGGCGAGGGGAGGGCCGTACCGAGGTCCTGGGAGTCGCCGTCGGCCGATCCCACGGCGTTGGAGCCCTGGAAGAGGTCGGCATTCTCGGAGATCAGGAGCAGGTAGCGCCGGAAGAGCAGGTACGACGAGTGCCGGACGATGATCGGCGCCGTGCGATCCACAATCAGCCGGACCACCGACAGGAGCTCCTCCGTTGGGGAGATCCCATGCGATGTGTCGCCCGACTCGATGTCCGAGAAGGAGTCCAGCAGGTAGGCCGTCGGCAGGAGCTTGGTGAAGCGCGACACGAAAACCGGCAGGTCGGTGCGCTTGGCTGCATTAGTGTCGTGTGTACCATGTGTGTGTGTGTGTGTGTCATGTGTGTGTCATGTGTGACCGGGCGTGGCCAGGGGCGTCCAGGCGTGCGTAGCAGGCAGGTATGGCAGGCGTGTGTGGCAGGCATGTGTGGCAGGCGGGTGCATCCGGGAAGATGGGCGCATGGACAGAGGGGCACGAGTGGGGGTGAGCCCCGACAGACGCGGACAAAGGGACGCGGGCGCGCACACCGGCCGGGTAAAGGGGCAAAGCGTGTTAGCGGCAATCGGGCAGGGAGCAGGCGAGCGAGCCCGAGGAAGAGCAGGGCCAGGGGGGAGGACGGCCGAGCGACGCACCGTGCCCGGCAGCCGAGGAGGCCACCGCCGACAGCAGCAGCTTCAAAAGCATCGGGTGGGCGGCATCATTGGAGGCCACGCGCCAGAAGGCCACGCTGTCCGGGGCGGCGTACTCCGGCTGGTGGGCCTGCTCCAGGGCCAGGCCCGGCAGGTGCTCGATGTCGGCCTCCTCCGGGTACGGGAGATCCGGGGCGAATTCGTCCAGCTGGCCGGAGCACTCGGCCCAGAGGCCGATGCACTCGCGCAGGCAGCTGTCCCGGGCCCAGGCCGACGCGCCGATCAGCAGGTCGACATTCTCCTCGGAGAAGAGCCGGGCCGTGGTCTCGAAGCTCAAGCGCAGGGCCAGCAGGTTGAGGCCGCCGGTGCCGGTGCCGGCGCGCTGCATGAGCGACAGCTCGGCAAAGCGCCGGACCACGCGCAGCCCCAGCACGGTCACCGCGCACAGCAGGTCATAGTCCGACCGGGCCGGCAGCGTGTGGGCCCGGAGCGCGTGGGCCAGCATGCGCAGCACATAGAACAGCAAGTCATTCGACTCCGGGGCCTGGGTCAGCTGCTCGCACAGGGCCGACAGCATGATCAGCGAGAAGGGGGCCGTCAGGCTGTCGGCCGAGAAGCTGAAGAGGGTCTCCGTCTGGAGGGCCGCCTCGTCGGCCACCTGCTCCAGCAGCGACCGCAGGCGCGCATGGTGCCCGGTGGCCAGCCGGTGCCGGGCCGCGCCCAGGCACCGGGCCGCCAGCAGCCGCAGCCCGGTCCCGCCGAAGGACTGATCGCCAGCCAGGCCGGTCAGCGAGGCCAGCAGGCCGGCCACCACCGGCACCGTGGCCTGCTGCTCCGGCGGGGGCTGCTCGGTGCTGGTGGACCCGGCGCCCGGGTGGTCGGCCTCGGCCGCGGCCTCCAGCACAGCCGCCAGGGCCGCCTCGAAGAGCAGGCTCTGCAGCAGGTGCACCGCGCTGCTGGCCGCCGGGGTGGCGACGGCCCGCAGCCCGGCCATGGCCCAATGCAGCAGGGCCGCCAGCCAGCCGGCCTCCGGGGCCGGGTCGGCCACCGGCCCGGCCAGCGCCCTCGCCGCCTCGGCCAGCGTGGCCAAATGCCGGACCAGCGCCGGCATGTCGCCGGGCCCCGGCACCGGCAGCCCGGCCAGGCACCGGCGCAGGACCGACTCCGGGGTGGAGGCCCGGACGAAGCCCAGCGGCCCGTCGAGCTCCCGGTCGACCGGCCCGCCGACCGGGGCCAGCACCGTGGCCAGGGTATGCCCCGCGAAGAGGCCCCACACGAGGTGCGCCTGCTCGGCCGGCGACATGGCCGCCGGGCCGGCCACCGCCGCCGACCGCACCTCCGCCTGGTGCAGGCTCTCCAGGAGCCCGCCATAGAAGCTGGCCAGGGTCACCACCGCCGCCAGGGGGTCCTCCACGGGCGGGGCGTGGTCGTGGTCGTGGTCGTGGTCGGGGGAGGCCGGGCCCGGGGCCGGGGCCGGGGCCCGGTCGGCCATGCCATCCGACCAGGGGCACCGGGTGCCGGGGAAGAGCCCCGGCGCGCGGTGGTAATTGAAGAGCAAGTGGTACACCTCGGCCGCATGGCCGCCCAATTGCAGGGCCAGGTCCGGCGCCGGGACCCGGGCGACCAGCTGCCCGAGTGCCTGGTCGAAGGCCGGGCGGTGGGTGAAGGCGGCCCAGCCGGCCGGGGCCTGCTCGGCCGGCAGCAGCCGCACCAGGGCCGCGCCCGTGCGCAGGGCCAGGTCCATGTGGCGCCGGGCCGGGGCCCCGCCCCGGTGGGCCGTCGTGCTGAGGGTCGCCTCGAAGCGCGGCAGGGTCCGCAGGGCAAATGCCCGGAGGGCATCGCCGGCAGGGCCCGACGCGGGGCCCTCCCCCCGGGCCAGGGCCTCGGACAGCCGGCCAAGCATGTCCAGCGAGTCGAACCAGCACGCGTCGGCCACCGGGGCCAGGAGCAGCCGCGCCAGGTGCTCATCGGCGCCGGGCTGCGCCAGGCGCAGGAAGATCCCCAGCCCCCGGCAGGAGGGGCCATCATCCAGCGACAGGGTCAGCAGCCGCATGAAGGCCTCCAGGGCGGGTGGCTCCGGGTCGTCGGCCTGCAGCACGGCCAGCAGCCCGTCCCCGGCCGGCGCATCGGCCGGGCCCAGGCACCGGGCCAGGCCGAAGGCCAGGCTCCGAAGCGGCCCATCCGCCCAGGGACCCTCCTCCGGGGTGAAGAAGAGGGCCCGCTCCAGGCAGGCGGCAACCAGGGACTCCACGCGAGCCGGCCGGCCGGTGGCCGGGTCGGCTGCCGGCAGGCGCTCCAGCACTTGGCACACGTGCAGGAACCCGGCCCCGGCCGGGGCTCCCGTGTCCAGGGCCGCCTCCAGCAGGTCCAGCAGGCGGTCGGCGCGCGGGCCGGCCGCCGCCTCGCCCAGCAGGTCCAGCATCTGCAGCCACACCGGCGACACGGCCGGCTCCGGGGACCAGAGCAGCGCGTCGCCGTGGCGCTCCAGGCACCCGAGCAGCTCGTCAGCCAGCCGGGCATCGACGATGGCCGCCACGCCGGCCGCCGGGATCTGGGCCACAATGCGCACGGCGTCCTCCACGCGAGTGACAGCTGGGTTCGCGTGGTCGAGTGTGAGTATTTGTCAGGGTGCGGGGGGAGGGGGGAGAGAAAGGGAGGGGGGGAGAGAGGGGGGGGGGGAGAGAGGGAGGGGGGGAGAAGGGGGGAGAGGAGAGAAAGATGGAAGAAGAGGAAGAAGAGAAAAAGAGGAAGAAGAAGAGGAAGAAGAGGAAGAAGAGGAAGAAGAAGAGGAAGAAGAGAAAAAGAGGAAGAAGAAGAGGAAGAAGAGAAAAAGAGGAAGAAGAGGAAGCGGAAAAAAAGAGGAAAGGAGGAAGAGAAAGGCAAAATGGAGGGAGCATGCACGCACCGGCGGCCGAGGAGGCAGCCGCGCCGCAGGCATGCGCCAAGTGGTCCTCCAGCAGGGCACGGGTCAGCGCATGTGCCAGGGGCTCGCAGTGGGGGCTGCGCGCGGTGGCCCCGGCCATCAGGCCGAGGAAGGCCGCACGCTTTTCCGGACAGGCGTCCGACAGGAGGCACGCCGAAAGGGCATCACGAAGGAGCACGGCTGGCAAAAGAAGAAAAAAGATCAGTCAACAGCGGCGGCGGCGGCGGCGGCCAACAAGAACCCCAGCCACAGGGCCCACGGAGGGGGGCACGCACTCAGCTGGTCGGCCTGGGCGCCGGAGGGGGTCTGCTCGAAGAGACCCAGCACCAGGTCCATGGCCAGTTGGGGGCCATCCTCGGTGGCGGCCGGGCGGCCAGGCAGCAGGCACCGGCGGAGGACCGTCGCCACGATGGGCGCGCTCTGCTCCTGGGGCCTGGACAGGGGCGTGACAGATGGCAGGGGCCACCAGAACCGGGGTCAGTGGACGTGTGGGGCCGGCTCGAACACAAGGGGGGGCAGGGGGGGGGGGAGGGGGAGAGAGCCAAACGGCCGGTGTCCGCGGCGCGGGCGAGGGCCGGCTCGGACGCACAGGTGGCCATGCATCCAGCAGACCGAGGCCAGCAGCAGGGCCCGGGCCAGGGGGGCCTGCTGCTGGATGAAGAAGCGCGGCATGGCCGCATCCCGGGCCAGAGACTCGTCGGTGGCCCCGGGGAGGGAGTAGGCATCGGCCAGGGCGGTGGCCAGATTGGGCGGGAAATGCCCGGACAGTTGCTGTGCCAGGAGGGGGGGGAGGGGGGGGGGGGGACCGGCGCATCGGGCGTCGTCAGCAAGGCGGCATCGGCCGGCGTGGGAGAACCACGGCAAATGGGGACACACCTCCTTCGGGCAGGCGGCCAAGATGGCCCGCAGGACCGCCACCGCGGGCAGCAGGCGCCGGGACACGTAGTTGGTGACGCTCGGGAAGAAGGCCTTGCGCAGGTCGACCCCGGCGACGGCCGCGGCCCCGGGCCCGGGGGGGTCGGCCGCCGGGGCCCCGACCAGCTGGCCGGCCAGCTGCCAGATGGCCTCCAGCAGGGGCGCATGCACATTCCAGTGGGTCACCTGCGGGAAGACCAGGGCCGTGCGCAGGAGGTAGCTGGCCACCGGCCCCGGGCCGAAGAGCACCGCCTCGGCCAGGCTGCCACACCCGAGCAGCCGGCCGACAAACTGGTAGGCCGCCAGCTGGATGGTGACATTCTCGTGGCGTGAGAGCTTCCAAAAGACCCGGCTCTGGACCAGGGGAGCCAGGAGGTCGGCGCGCAGGTCGCCCTGCAGCAGGTCTGGATCCGGGGGGGGGGGGGGGGGGGGGGGCGAGGGGCCGGGGTGGTTGATGTGAGCCCCTCCTGGGGCGGCGACATTGCCGGAGTTCGCGCGAGGCCAAAGGGAGCCGGCAGCCCTGGCACCAGCCC